ATATGTGTGGAAGTTTTTACTTTTGTGTGTTTTGGTACCAACCTCTTTATTGAATTAATCCTTACCCCTTTTTTTTGGTTTGTTACCTGAAAGATATCCACATAAAATATTTTTTTCATCTTTTTAATATTTGTGCCTCTCATCTTTTGCCTTCCACCGACGACACCCTGTATAATGTCAGAGTCTCATACTGGCTTTCTTTTCTCCTTTTTCTCTTTCCTTACTTAATGTTTCCTCATTCTGGAAAGAATGCTGCCGTTCTTTCCTTTTGTAGAGATAGGAGGAAAATACCATTTGTTCCTATTTTATTGAGGTTCCCCCCACCCAAGAAATGGATTTTGAATTTTTTTCAAAAGCTTTTTCAGTGTCTAGCAAGAAAATCAAATGGTTTTTCTTCTGACTGCCTTCGACTTTGGATATGATTAATTATAGATTTCCTACTAGCCATTGAAACATATTACACTCGGTCTCAGTGTGTTCTTTCAATACCATGCTAGATTTGAGTTGTTAACAGTGTACTTAGGGTTGTGGTCTACCTAGTCCCGAGTCTGTAGCTGACCCTTTTGTGTGCCTTTCTCTGCCCCTCTTCTCTCTCTGTGACTCTGTCTCTCTCTGTTAGACTTTGATGTCCAGGTTCTACTAGTTTCTAGATGGAATTTGAAATGTCTTCCCTGTTGTATGCTCTAGAAATTATCCAATCCTTCCATTTTACAAAGGAAATCTCCTATAAAACTAATGTGAGTGTCTTTTGGGTTAGCACATTAAATTTTTCAAAATATTCCCTCCTTAATTCAATGTTGGTACCTTAAAGCTCCCTTTTAAATGATGTTTCATTAAGATTTTCACATTTATTACCCATAATTGAATACAGTACTCTCCCATTTTTAATGCACTCTGTGCTCTTTCTCTATTTCTCTTCATTTATTAAACTTATCAGACTTTAGTGATTTTATTGGTTTTTATAAACAGCTAGCTTTTAGATTTATTTATCAGTTATTCTTTCTTGGCTTTCTAATTGATTCATTTGTTTCTGCTTCCATCTCTATTGATTCTTCAACTTTCTGCAGTTTACTTTGGGGTTTGTAGGCAGACCTGTACGAACAGAGGTGATCCAGCAAGAGCCCAAGCTCACTGATGGCCAATTCCTGGCCACGACAAGTCATGAAATCGGGTTGCTCTCCACCTTCTCTAATCACCGCACAGCCTGTCTCTGTGCTCTTAATTATAACTTCCCAGCCAAGCTTCTATCTATTCAGCTTGAGCCCCATGTCTCCCTCTCGCCAGTGGAAGCTGTAGGGAAGTTTCTTTGTTTCCTCTTTGAACCAAGGAGGTAGAGAAGGGAGACACACATCTATGTTCTAAGCAGTCCTCAGACAGGCTTGCGCTGCTGGCCCCGCGTACCTCCTCCATCCCCACTCGCCGGGTCTGGGATGAGGCCCTTCTGCCATATCCTGAGGCTCTCCCAAGGTGACATTTAACAAGGAGAAACTGGGAAGATGACCCAACAGTCGTGTTCCTGGGTCTCTGTGCTGTAGGCCGTGATGTGCTCTGAACTCATGCTGTGGACACAGCTCTGGGCCATTTGAGGGAGGGAGGGAGGGAGGGAGCATGGCCTTTGCCAGTTATCCATTTGGATTTCACCTTTGCTCCCCAACTTTGCCCCCAAGATTGGCCAAGGAAAGGCTTGAAACTCAAGCTGAGTTGATGACAGGAGCTCAGTTTACTTCCCCCAAGAGGCAGTGGAGTTTCTCTTGTCCTCTGCCAACCCCGGCACAGATCACCGGAGCTCCACTACCTTGCTCTGCCAATGTGTCCTCCAACATAAGCATAATTTTTCTGGATGCTCCGATCCCAAGAAAAATCCTGTCTCCTAAAGTCCTGGGATGCCTTTTATATTGAACAATAGAAACTTCTAGGTGCCCCTAGGGCAATACAGTTGTCTACTTTTGGAAAAATCCAACTCCCTCGTCTCCAAAAGGTCTGCCATATACTCATTTGTTTAGTTTAATAACCTGGCAGCTTTACATAGACTCCTACAACCCTCTTTTTGGAAATATGTGGAGTAAAACATATGGATAAATATGAACCCTCACTGCCACTGAAAATGATGTTGAGTTTATTTCCTGGGCCCAGAGTTAAGAGCAGGAAGAAGGGTCCTCCAGACATCATTACCGGTGTCTGCCCACAGCCGGCCTGCATGAGAAGGCCCAGAGCACTGTGGGAGGCACCAGAGCCTCGCCCACCCAAGCTTGTCTGGCCCCTCAGCCCCATGCTTAACTGCTGTGGCCCTGGGCCAGGTCACTCCCCCGCCAAAGAGGGCACACCTGGCCTTTCACCTGGGCTCCAGGACTTGGGAAGTGAAATAAAAATGACCCACTGGAAAATTAATGGCCTTCACAGAGCAGTGATGTAATTAGTCACCCTGCCTGTCAGTGCCCAGAAGTGCTTTGCAAAGCATTTCCTACAAGAAATTAAGCTCCTGTCCAATGGTTTTGATAACAGAAATAATATATCTGAGTTTTATTCATTCAGAAATAAATTCCAGGGACCATTGCTTTTACATGTAGCAGCTGAATGGCATTAAATATTTATTTAGATGTCTTTCTGATCATATTTAGAATAATGATGAAAGCTGTGAATTACAGGGTACAATGCCTGACGTGTTTACTGCCTGCAATCCATTTCACAGCCCTTTCTTTCAGACCTTGGGCTGCCAAAGAGGATCATTGTAAGCTGGTGAGAAAGCAAACTCCAGAGTCACCTCCCGGGCTCACTCGCTGGGACAGGGTCAGGACTGCGCCATGAGCACAAAGGCCAGGCGAGGGCCTTCTCTAACCTGCGCCGATTCTTACCCACAGTGCCACCAGTCATCCGCGTCTACCCAGAATCCCAGGCACAGGAGCCCGGGGTGGCGGCCAGCCTGAGATGCCACGCGGAGGGCATCCCCATGCCCAGAATCACTTGGCTGAAAAATGGCATGGATGTCTCGGCCCAGATGTCCAAACAGCTCTCTCTTTTGGGTAAGAACTACCAATGTGCCTCCGGGCTATTCCCATCCAGCCCCAGGAATGGAAATGAGAGGCAGGATTCACTTCTGTGCCCAATATTTAAGGAGGCAACAGATGTCTCCCCCAGATTCCCCGATACCTGGGCTTACATAGTCTGGGGAGACTTTCAAGAGCCATAATGAGAAAGTGTCATCAGTTTGCAGGTCACCCTTGGGTAATTTCAGCTGTGCCTTTCTTTCCTGGGCACGTTAGAAGGGACACTGGCTGCCCTGTGTCCTGCCAGGGCTCTGTCTGGCTGAGTGTGCCACCCCGAGCACTGTTCTTTCTGCAGCCAACGGGAGCGAGCTCCACATTGGCAGCGTTCGGTATGAAGACACAGGCGCATATACCTGCATTGCCAAGAATGAAGTGGGTGTGGACGAAGACATCTCCTCACTGTTCATCGAGGACTCGGCCAGGAAGACCCGTAAGTTCGCTCTTGCCTTGAAGCTCCTGGCCGAGCCGGTTGGGGGGTGTCAGGTGGCAAAATACCCCAAAATGACCAGGGCCACGGCCTTCAACCATGAACCCTGAAGGCCCTAGTAAACTCATATTCTCTGTGCATAAAGCGGGGCACTGGGGCTCCCAAAGTGTGCAGATTCCCCCCCACCCGGCATCCTAGTCAGCTCTGGAGACGCAGACGTCTCTGAACGGCACACGGCATGCAGGACCACAGAGGGCTCCAGCGTCCCAGCCCCACTTCTGCCTCCTGGTGCTATGTGACCAGAACCTCTGCCCCCGGTCACAAAATTCCTCAGGCGTCCACCCACCAGGTGCAGCGATTCTCAGCGACCCAGAGCTAGCTCATCCTGTGGTAGTCCTGCTTTATCTGCAGTTTTGCTTCCCATGGTCTGAAAGTATTAAATCCAAAATTCCAGAAATAGAAAATTCGTAAGTCTTAAATAACTTATTCCAGTATATGGTTATAATTGTCGTATTTTACTATTAGTTGTAGTTCATCTCTTCTGTGCCTAACATAAAATATTATATAGGTACACACATGTAGGAAGAAATAGACTATACAGGATTCAGTACTGTCCAGTTTGGGGGATCCTGGGAACGTGTGTCCCACGGATGAGGAGGGCCTGCAGGACCTCAGCGCACCGCTGAGCGTGGTGGCCCGTATCCCAGGGACGGTCACCCATCTGGTGTGTAAGTGCGCTGTCCCTTTAGCCACTGCCACCTTGCCCCACGCCTCCAAGTGAGAGTTGGTGAGTGTGGGTGCTGGTCACAGTCTCTTCCCCTCAAAGACTCCAAGCCAAGCCTTTGTAATCAAAGGAGACAATCAGAAGTATTTCCCATGTTCCTCCTGGAAGAATCCTAGTGGAAATCAGTCCTCCTGGAACCAATTCAGGAAACCTGGGAGAAATCCCTTTACTCCTTATCCTTCACAAAATATGGGGATCTCATTAACTGTTGCGATCCTGGGTCCTAATTTCCAAGACTCATTTAGGAGTCAAAAGGGTCCTAAGTCCTGGAAGCGTGTGGAGGATGCAGATTCTGTACATCACGGGCAGGTAGCAGTGTGTTCCTGGGCAGAGTGAAGCGCTACAGTCACGTTTGACCTCGCTTTCCTTCTTCCCTTCTGGCAATCACGTCCCTGCTGTCCGAACTCTGCGGTGCAGTGGCAAACATTCTTTGGAGAGAGGAAGGTACCAAACCTGATTGTTGTGTCGTGCCTGTGACCATGTGTGTTTGTGGGTCTGTGAAGGGCCACGTCTCCGTGAGCCGCTGTCAGTTTTGCGAACACGAAGCAGTGCACCAGTAGGGCCCACAAGCCAAACAGGATGGGTGCAGGGAGGCCAGAGTCAAACTCAAATGGTACACACATCAAATCAAAACCTCTTGGTGTATTTAATGGCAATTTTTTAAATGGAAAATTTCCATCGAAAGCTACTTATCACCTTGGCGAAGCAGACCGCATGGCAGAAGCTCCCGCTCAGATCTGGGCCTCGGACTTTTCCCAGTAGCTGATATTCACGCCAGGTCTTGTGCTTTGTTATCTTATGGTTTTTTTTGGTTTTGGTACCGGGGATCAAACTCGGGTCCTTGCGCTTGTGCAGCAGGCTGCGAAACCACTGAGCTAAATCCCCGGCCCCTATCTTATGTTGCTTTTTAAAGACCAAAGGGCTGGGGATATCGTTTAGTGGCAGAGCACTTGTCTAGGATGCATGAGGTCTTGAGTTCAGTCCCCAGCACTGCTAAAAACTAAATGAATAAAATTAACTTTAAAAGACATCCCCACCCAAAAAAAAGTACATTCCCCCTGGCATCTACAATAACTGTGCCTTAATTATGCTTTGAGAAAATGCTACAGAGAAACAAACGATTTGTGTAAATATGTATTTTTCAATGTATAGATTTTCAAAAGCATATCTTATTTATGAAACAAATCTTTAGCTATTGGATTGAGCCGTATGTAAATGCCATTTTTGTACACCAAAAGTGGTCTGATATTGACAACTTCGGGTGGTTTGAGAATAGCACAAAGACACAGGAGCTGGGGCAGAGCTGGGGCGCTGCTTGTGTGTGCTCATGTCCCCAATCCCGTCCCCATCCTGTGACCTCTGAACCAGATCAGAGTCCACATCGCCCTCGGGTGACTTGGTCTCCAGCTGGGTGGGCAGAAGTGGAGCAAAAGGCAGGAGACAAACCCCGCGCTGCAGGTTAAGCACACAGCTCCCTCTTGAAGAGCCAGGGTGTTTCCTCTGTTTTTCCAAAAGCCCTTCACGTGGCATCCCTGCCATCTGGTGTGTACGAGCAGACGCAGCCTCAAAATGGTTTCCTGGAAGTCAGCACCAGAGCTGATGCTGTAGGTCTGAGAGGCAGAACCCGGAATGTGAGGAGTCGCTGCCGGCAGCAGCTGCCAGACATGAGCCACCCCTCGTTTCTCACTGCAGCCTGAGCCTCACCGCTGGGCACAATGCACACCGCTCATGCGCTGTCCTCAGAGGTGGTGTCCTGCTAAGAGAGCTTGCTGCAAAGGGCCTCAAGGTTCAGAAGCAGAGCTGGGAAGGAGGCAGGAGGCCCTGAGAGGTGTGAAATGAGCTGTAGAAACCCACTGCCCGTGTCAGACCCACAGGTCTCTCAGGGCACAGGGTTAGCAGTAAGAGCAATGCTGCAGCGAAAAAATCCTATCATGCGTGGGCAGCTGGACACTTGTGCCCTCCCTGCTAGGGCTCCACCCTGGAGACAGGGAATACAGACGCCAAAAGGAAGGGCCACAGGCCTAATGGCACACTCAAATCTCAATAGCAGCAGGGAGATGGTGAGAGCAGACAAAAGCAAAAAGCTCCTTCAGACCCTTTTAGCAGAAGCTAGATTCAACAGAAGCTTCTGGGGCTGGGTCATGAGCCCGGCTCTCCTGGGAGCCGGTTACGTGTCGAATGTGTATCTGTGGAGCCTCATACTCCCGCGCTGTGAGCATGGCGCTGCGCTCCACTGGAAATGTAGTTACTGCCGCAAACCGACGTGCACACGGAAGATGCCATCTTACGCTGGTTCTTACAGCTGCCGATTTTCCCACCAGCCCAAGGAGGCTGCTCCTGGGGGCTGTGGTTTAGCAGGGACCTGGAGCCCTCCGACCCCTGGGTGTGAGTGGAAGCCATTTGTGCAGTGGTTCAGAGCAAAGGTGAGCTGGCACGCTGGCTCTAGACGTGGAGAAGCCAGGAGGCTGAGACAAGGCATCTGCAGATAGCCAGCTTTCTGGCTCCTGAGGGACAGCCCAGGACTGCCCATCAGGAGCTGGGCCGAGCACCTTCTGCAGGGCTGGCTTCCAGCTACACACAGTGGCAGGGGCCGTCCAACCCAGAGCCCTCTCAGCACAGGCACTCATGCCAGTTCATCTGGCACTGTTAGGGGCACAGGCCACGCCACGCACAGTGACACTGCCCAGTCACCAGGGGCCTGAGGCCAAGACATGTGCTGCAGGCTCTGGAAGGAGGCGAGACAACGATTCCTATTTTCCAGTTTTACTCTTTTCTAATTCCCTAAAAACTTACCCAGATAGTCCATTACGCCACAGCACCAGCTCTGTCAGCTTGCTAGGAAAGAGTCCTTACTTACATACTTTTCTTAGAATTTATACAAATCCTGATTTTCTAGCATTAGAAGAAATGGAAGGAGGGAGAGAGAAAGGAGAAATGGGAGGAACGCTAGACGGTACATGTCTGTGCGCCATGGCTGCCCTCAGGGAGAGAGAGTGAGTGGACAGCAGTGAGAGCTCCAGCTCACGGTCGAACCCCAGAGGCCGGTGGCCCCAGCCAAGGCCTTCCCTTCCTCGGTCCTCAGTCTCTTCATCTTTAAAGTCATCGGCTGGGCTGTCTTCCCCAGGTCCCTTGTCTAAGGCCCAAGTATGTTGTCCCAAAAAGCCACAGCCCTAGAGCACCGCGGGGCCAGACGGGAAGGCCAGGGTGTGTGCTGCACTGCCAACCCCGGCCCCCCGGAGTGTCTGGAAGGAGGGGTAGACGCCGGGACCCAGTGTGGAGAAAGCAGTACCATCCACCTACCCCCTTAGCCCCCCACTTACAAGAAACAACGCTGTACATAAATGCTTTCAAAACAAAATCCTGTACCTTTTTGGCACCATCTGATCCATTCTGCTTTGACTAATCTACACCAACCAACCAAGGGATGTTTTCCATTTCAGAACAGGAAAGGCCAAACGAATGTCCAAGCCAAGGCCATGGTTATCTGTAAACTTGCGTTGGTGGCCAGTGCTAGATGATACCACATAGGGCAACTGTGTGTGTCCAGGACAGCGTTGGTACCGCAGGGCTGGAGAGGGGCTCACCGATTCTCAGCCTTAGCAGCCCTTTCTCCCCACCCTCGCTCCCACCACCAAGCAGGCTGTCTCCAGCCGGCCGCTCATCCCACCCCACTTCTGCCAGAATTGCATTGTGGGCCTGCACCAGTGGCACCCAAACTGCCTGTGTCTTGTGTCCTCCGGGTTGCATGTGGCCTGCCTGGGGGACCCTGTTACAGGGGCCCGACCGTGCTGTGTTTGCCCTTCCCAGGCCTCAGTGTGGGAAACATGTTCTACGTCTTCTCTGACGATGGCATTGTGGTCATCCACCCTGTGCACTGTGAGATCCAGAGGCACCTCAAACCCACAGAGAAGATTTTCATGAGCTACGTGAGTCTCTATGGCTGGGGCATGCAGGTCTTAAATTCCACCAGCTGTATGTGGTGGTTCCCAATCGTTCCAAGGCCGAGCAATCCACCTCTCCTCTCACCATCTAGCAGCCTTTGCTTCGCACTGAGCCCCAGGCAAGGCAGGGACACCTGTGGGTTTCTGGCTTCCCGAAGTTCAGGGCCATAGGGTGGAGACAGCAATGTGGACAGACAGCTGGCGCACAGGCATCCTCTCCTAGACAGAGAGCATGAACTCACACATGCGCCCAGAGCGGCAGAGGTGCTATAAATGAAACACAAGGCCAAGTAGAAAGGGACAGTGGCGTGGACAGAGGCAGAAGAAATGATTGCTAGTGGGAGATCCAGAAAAGGCCTTCCTTGCTCAGGATCCAGCTGTCTAGAAGACTCCCCAGGGCTGAGCCTCCCACCCCAGGCTGCTTTCTGTTTCATTTCCCACCTGGTTTCATAGGATACTCTGGGCTCCTTTAAGTAGGACCTGCAATGTAGTACAGGAAGACAGACTATGCATAGGTGGACAAATAAATGGATAAAATCGAGCATCAAATGAGAACTGCAGCAGAAGTGAGGGAGTAAGGAGGGCTAGGGTAGCTGAAGTAGCTGAGGTCAGAAAGGGCCTCTCAGGAAGGTGACATCTGAGCAGAACACTGAAAGAAAACAGAAAATAAACCCGACAGTTATGTGGAGAAGAGCATTCCTGGCCAGGAGGATAGCCATTGGTGGGCCCGGTGTGGAAGGAGGCACAGCAAGTGTGCCGGTGAGCAGGGAGACAGGACACAGGAACCAAACTGCAGACGGCCCTGCGGGTTTCGGGAAACACTGGGGTTTTATGTTGAGCAAGAAGGAATGCTATCAGGGAGGGCGACGCTGAGCCACACAACGGGGCTCACGGTTTACTGTGATCCTGCGGTTGGGCTGTGGAGACTGGGCCGGGAAGGCTGGGCGAGAACCAGGGAGCAGAGTCTGGGAGCTGTGGGCAGCAGCGTGGCTGGGGCCAGGGGCAGATGTGCTGAGGAGGGAGTGATCAAGGTAAGGCTGAAAGGATTTAGGACGCCTTGGATGGGAGATGAAGGCAGGGGAGAAGACTCCAGGGTAACCTCAAAGGTTTTGGTCTAGGAAAGTAAAACAACAGAGCTTTGAGTTTGTGATTCGATGAGCAGACCAGAGGGGTGAATGTGACCATTGGTTTTGATGTACAAGTCTGAGATGCACATTACGGCCCCGAGTGGACAAGGCAGTTCATTGCGGACGTGTGGACTGTATTTCAAGCCATGGGCTTCGATGAGATCAATGGAGGAGGGAGTTTTAGAAAGGAAAAGAAAAATCTGGGTACTCCATAGATCTGCAGACAGAGCAGAGGGCTCAGCATGGGGATGCGGGGAGGGAGAGAAGCAGCAGTGGTCAGCACCATCAGGTGGTGCCTCAGGTTGTATTAACGACTAGGGAGTCCGTACTGACCTCGTGAGCACAGTGTCAGCTTTGTGGGTAAGGACTAAGGCCAAGGAGCAACGAGGAAGTGGAGACAGAGTGAGGGGCACTCTTCCGGAACTGTCTGGCCAGCGGCAGGGACAAGGAGAGGGAGACAGTGCCGCACAGGGAGTGCTGACGACGGAGAGCGTACACGGGGTTATGGGGACCTGTCACTGGGGAGGTGGGAGAAAGGCTGGAGACATGCAAAGGCTTGTGAGCAACATTCTGCCAGCCCCAAGGAAGAGGGAAGAGGGGACCGCGGAGAGTCGGGGGAGGAAGGAAGAACACTCATGGCATCTCGCCCCTTACAGGAAGAAATCTGTCCCCGAGAAGGAGACGCCACCCAGCGGTGCCAGTGGGCATCTGCAGTCAACGTCAGGAACCGGTACATCTACGTGGCCCAGCCAGCACTGAGCAGAGTCCTTGTGGTCGATGTTCAAGCCCAGAAAGTCCTACAGGTACACACTTGGAAAGGGGGGAAAGGCTCCGAATTCTGGGGCACAGCTTGCCGCATTCGCCTTTGCTTCCTGCACTTCCCCGGCTTCTGCGAGCAGTGGTCCACTTGCAGGCCCCAAGAGTCCTGCGCACTTATTCACTGAGTATTCATTGGCTACTCTGTATCGAAGGCTGTTCCGGGTGCTCTAAAAATAGCCACGAATGAGCACGGCAGTCCCCAGAACTTTGATTCTCAATGAGATCCCAGAACAAAAATCCAAATTTCAGCAAACTGTAAGCGGGAGGGCTGTGAAACACCAGATGAAATGGGACAGAGGAACCGTACGGCTACCTTGAGTTGGCCCCTCGGGAGGTGGACAGAGCACTAGATCTGAATGCCTCGAGGGCCGGACAGGGAGAGCAGTGGCAGGGGCCAGCAAGGCAAGCTCACAGAGGGTCTGGGAGGCCAGTTAGGTCCTGGAATAAAAGCCCAAGGTGAGCTAGGCAGCCACTGGAGTGCCCTAATCAGAAGAGGGACGTATCCTGACTTACATTTTCAGAGAAAGAAGGGATTGGTGGGACTAATCCCATCAAGAGAGGGTGGTGGCAGCAAAGCGGGTGAGAAATGATTAGGCTCTCGATGGATTTTAGACAGAACATAAAAGATTTTCTGACACGTAAGGTTTGGGAGAGAAAGTATCCAGGTGTCTGCTGACTTGAGCAGAATGATGGTGCCATCTACGATGCGTAGCAGGCTGAACAGGGGCCCCCAACACGACCACATTCTAGGCCCTGGAACCTGTGGATGTCCATTTATATAGTAAAAGGGACTTCTCAGATGTGATGGAGGATTTTCTAACCAGACGATTAACCTGGATTATCTGGGTGGGCCTTCAGTGCACTCGCAGTGTCCTTCTCAGAGGGAGGCCGAGAGAAACTTGTCCCCCGGGGTGGAGGCGTCTGTGTGCTCCTGAAGCAAGATGGCACATGCACTGGAGGAAGGGCCATCAGGCAAAGGATGCAGCCACAGAGGCTGGAAAAAGCAAAGAAACGTGTCTCCCTTGGAGCGCTGGGAGGAGTATGGCGCTGCTGGCATGCTGCTTTATCCCAGCAAAATTGATTTGGACTTTCTGGTCTCCAGAACTGTAAGAGAATAGATCTGTGTTGTTCTGAGCCCCCAAATCGTGGTAATTTGTCACTGTGGCAACATGAAACAAATACACTCTGGTAAAAGAGACTTTGGGCAGGCAGGGGGTAGAGCAGAGGGAGAAGTTAGCTTGATGCTATTAGATATATAAATAGAGACACCAAGAAAGCAGAAGACCAAACAGGTCTGAAGTCTACAGAGAGCTCTAGGGTAGAGGGTGACAGAGAACAGGCAAAGGTAAGAGGCCTGGATCACTCCAACATTTAAGGAGCAGGAAGGAGGGAGGATGCCAACAAAGGAGCCTGAGGAGGAGTGGCCTGAAAGGCAGGAGGAAAATTAGGAGAGCTCCTAAGAGTGAAGAGTGCTTCAAGGGAGAGTTAGCAGTTAGTGGAGCACATTCGTGTGATATGAAGATGCTGTTGGGCTTGGCTGTCACCTGGACAGGGACAGAAAGGGTGACAGTGGTGAACATGGGCCCGCTGGAGGGGATCCTGGTTAAATACCAGGAAGGGGAGTGGAGATGGGGCTGTAGGCAGCCATATGGAGAGGTTTCGTCACTCAAGTAAAAAGAAGTAGATGAACGAGGCAGTGGCCAAAGGAAGGGGCCAGAGGAACGGTTGCAGAGCAGTAACCACCCCTGCATCGCTGAAGCAGGCAGGGTCCGCAGAGTCCAAGCCCAGGAGATGCCAGCCTTTCCCGAGAGTCCTCTTCCACCGGAACAGGAGGAAATGAGGAGGCCTCCGTCCAAGGTGATGGGGAGGAGGTACTGAGACCAACTTTCATCTCGTTGCTTTTATTTTCTCAGTGAAATTAGAAGGAAACTGCCACCAAGGCTGAAGGTTTGAGGAGAGAGGCAAAGTTAAACGTGGGACTGAATGGACCAGGTGCAGGGGTAGGACTGCTGGGCGGCACTGAGGCCCCTGAAGGACTGGGTATGAACTTAAAGTGAGAGCCGTCTCTCTCCTCACCGACGCTCAGCTGCCCAGTGCAAGCTCCTCGTTCGCAGGAGGTCGGGCATCAGCCCGGTTAGGGTTTCTCCTGGCAAATACCGCAGGAGGTTTTCTGCCTATCTTTCCATAACTGATTCTCCCCGCCAGAGAACACAACTCTGAATAATTTCAGTCCTTTGGGGTTTACGATTCATCTTGGTAAATGTCCCGTGTGTGCCCTAAGGCGTGTGTACTCTGACAGCCCGGTGTGGTGTTGTGTGTCCGCGATGCCAGTCTGATTCCCTGGGTTGTTCACATCTCCTGGCCTTAGTGAATTTTCGTCTTCTTAGTCTATTGGCTGCTAAGAAGTATGTTAAAATTTTCCACTGTGATGGGAGATTTATCTGTTTCTCAAAGTTTTGTCCATTTTTGCTCTAAAACTGTAATATCTTTTGGGGGGATACCGGGGATCAAACTCGGGGCCTTGCGCCTGCCAGGCGGAGGAACAACTAAGCTAACTCCCCGGCCCCAAGACTCTTGAGAAAATATCTTTATATCTGCTAACACTGCTTGCCTGAAAGTCTGTTTTTGCCTAAGACTACTAGAGCTAAACCAGGTTTATTTTGATTGGTATTCTTCTATCGTAATTTTTCCATCCTTGCACTTTTGACCTTTCCATGTCCTTATAGTTAAAGTATTCTTTCCTAAAGTGATTTAGGGTAGATCTGGGGGTTTTCTCCAGTTAAATCATCTCAGTCTTGTCCTGGAAGTATTTGATCCATTTATACTTCATGTAATTATATGGCTGAGTTGTATCTACTGTCTTTTTATTGGGCCTACATATTTGTATTGCTTTTTTCTCCTTTTGTTTTGGGTTTTTTTTTTTGATTTGCCAAAGATTTTAATTGTTTTTCCTGTCTATTAGCTTGTCACTCTTCTATGTAGTTATTAACACCAGAGAGTTATATCATGCATCCTTACACCAATACCAACATATATAAATTGTTATTTCATTTCTCCAATAATTCTGGAACACTTTAACCTTCCCATGTCTTTTGCATTATTATAATTAATTTTAATTCTATATATAACTCCACAAGACTTTGTTTTATTGTTTTTTGAGACCAGGTCTCACTATGTAGCCCAGGCTGGCCTTGAACTCATGGCAATCCTCCTGCCTCAGCCTCCCGAGTGCTGGGATTACAGCTATGCACCACCATCCCCAGCCAGGACATATTATTTGAACAGGCAATCACACCCCTATATCTACCTTCTAGTGCTCTTTTCTCCTGAAGTACGTAGGATCTTTTTTTTTTGGTAACGGGGATTGAACTCAGGACCTTGCGCTTGCGAGGCAGGCGGTAAAACCACTGAGTTAAATCCCTGCCCCATAGGATCATTTTTAATAGCTCTTATAGTATAGGTCTGCTGGTAACAGAGTCACGGTTTTTGCCTGTTTGAAAATATCTATTTTCACCAGGCAAAGAATCTAGATTTTCTTTCAGCATTTAAAGATGTCATCCTATGTCTCCCATTGTTTTTGCTGATAGGCCAATTTTCAGTCTTACTGGTGTTCTCTTGAAGGTAATATATCCCTTTCTCCTCTCTCTACTTCTCAGATTGTTTCTTTGATCCTCAGCAGTTTATGAAATGCCTGGGTATGGTGTTCTTTGCATTTATTCTGGTTTGGGGTTTGCAGAGGTTCTTGACTGTGTGGATTGATTATTTTTCATCAGATTGGGGAAATCTCAGCAATTCTCCACATATTCTGCTTCTGTCTCTCTCTCCCTTGCCTTTTCCTCCTTCTGGGACTCTGTTTGTATTTTATTTTATTTTATTTTATTTATTTTATTTTATTTTTTTTTGGTACCAGGGATCAAACTAAGGTCCTTGCGCTTGCGAGGCAGGCAGCGGAACCACTGAGCTAAATCCCCGGCCCAGTTTTTACTTTTTTTTAATTAGACTTTTCCATTGCATCCTGGGTGTCTTCTGCTTCACTTTGGGTATGTCCTATCCACATGTTTCCCGCTGTGTCTAATATGGATTTAACAAGGCCTATTTACTGAGATCTTATTTCAGGTATTTCATTTTTCACTTTTTAAATTTCAACTTCATTTTCTATTTATATATAAATTCTTAATTATCTTTTTGTGGATCACCTGTCAGTCTTTTAATGTTCTTTTACATCATATCCACTGTCTCTTAAGAATGCCTGGTAATTTTTTTAAATCCACACATCTTATCTAAAAAATTGTAGAGGTTTTAAATGACTGTCATCCAACAGAAAGGGTTCCCCTTTCCCATGCTAGGCTGAGCAGTGCTTCTAGAAGGTTCAGGCTGCCTCTGCTTCAGCCCTCATTTTAAGGCTTTTAACCAAGAATCTGCTATTTTCACCAGGACCTCTTCCCTTCCCCAGACCTTCGCTCCTCCTATGGAAAATTCTCTTTGGAACTTAAGAGATTTTGGGGGTAGCTGTTCACCCTTCTCCTCTGTACCGCCTCAGAACAGGAATATGAATCTGGGGGAAGGTTAGCCAGAAAGGACAAATAACAGCTACTGTCCAGACTTTAGGGAAAGCTTGCTGAGAAGAGAGCAGAAAAATGGAGAAGCTGGAAGAGAATGTGGAGTCATGAAGGGCTTTTTTCTTTTTTAAGAGAACAAGAGCCATGTATGTTGGTACATGCCTATAATCCTAGCACTCGGGAGGCTGAGGCAGGAGAATCACTGTGAGTTCCAAACCAGCCTGAACTCTTGTCTTGAAAGAAAGAAAATGTCCAGGTGATATTGTTAAGATGGGTTAAGAAGCTCTGGGAAGCAAAAGACCATGTTGGGTGGCAAAGCCTTCTGCAAATGAAGGGAAGTAGCGTGGAAACAGAACAAGCTGGGCTCCCTGGAGGGTCCCAGGGAGGGTCCTGGTGGACTCTAGAAAAACAAAAATGGCCTCTCCTTGAGACTTCGGGAACAGGAGCTCCTAATTAGAGTAGGGGAGGACGGGGCTCCTCAAGCGGTGAAGAGGGGAGCCTAAACGTATGTCAGCAGAGTCCACAGATGAAAATACCCCATGGCCACCGGAGTACAGAGGGTCACTGGCAGCCAGTACCGGAAGAAGGGTGTACAAGGGAAGAATCAGGTCAGAGACACCAACAGTGGGAGGTCAGGCGGAAGTGCAGGAGCCAGGAGATGGGAAGACAAAGGAAGAAAATGATTCTAAAATGAAATAGGGAGCCAGGTGAAATCTTGTTGAAACATCAAAAGAAGGGTCACAGTGTGATCTCTGAACTTGGCGTGGAGGTCTAGAGCACTTCGATGGAGGGGAAAAGATGGAAATTTGGTGGAAACAAGTTAAGGAGACGTGAACAGGGGCTCTGAGACACTCTTCAGAGAAGTTCTGACCAGTGTGTGCAAAGATGGTTCATTTTTTTGCAGGCAACCAGAAAGGCTTCAATATGGTTTGCTGAAATTGAAATTTCAGAAATCACATTGACAGGGCCGGGGATTTAGCTCAGTGGTTCTGTCGCCTGCCTTGCAAGCGCAAGGACCTGAGTTCGATCCCTGGTACCAAAAAAAAAAGAAATTACGTTGACAAGGTACAGGTTATGATGGCTGAGGAAGGGTAGAGGAAAAGATCACTGAAATCAAGAAGGAACTAAGAAAGCAGGCTTTGGACAAATCAGCCATGTGGATGGATTTGAAGGCACCAAAGTTGGTGACCAAGTGAGTAGTAGAAAAGATGACAGTGAATCTTGCGTCGGCATATTTAGTGAACAAAGGGAATAAGTAGGATGTTGGCCAATGAATGGCAAGAAGATGACCTGGGACTCACAGTCTAGTGATATGAGAACTATGGAATAAAGTTTTTGAACTTATACAACTACACTGTTAAGAAGTAAAAGAAAAAAAATTCAGCTCAGTGGTTCCACCACCTGCCTTGAAAGTGCAAGGTCCTGAGTTCAATCCCCAGTACCAAAAAAAAAAAAGAAAGAAAGAAAGCTTACATCGTATGACAGGGCCCCAGAAGAGGCCACGGTTTCTTCAGACAGCAGAATTTCAGATTCTGCAGTTAAAGAGGGTCAGCCCGGTGCTACAATCAGAATCCCAGAGGCTTCAGCTGAAGGATGTACAAGAAAAAGCTACTCAGAATCGAACAAAGATGAGAAAGGGGTGACAGTGAGTGAACGCAAGAGCCCACCTCACATGCCCCGGGGAAGGACCAGCCCACGAGTCGAGTCGAGACACAGAGCAGCTAGGGAAGCGTGCTGAGTGTGAAGGGGGCCACAGAACTTCCAGGAGGAGGGAGGAGGGAGCCCTGGGGCTGGTTCCCGAGTGGTAAACATCAAACCTCTGTGTGCAGGCTTTGGCACAGTTGGTCTGGGTGCCTTCAAGTAAAATATGAAAGAAAGTAAGTCCTCAAAAGAGAGGATATTTAAAGAGAGAGAGAGGGAGGGAGAAAGAGAGAACATTACTGATCAACTGTATGCCTCTGAGGACAGTGGCTGCCGGAGGGGAGGCCTCTGGCCTGGGTTTCCAGACAGGGATCCCCGAGAAGCCGGCTTTCCACTCCCCGTGACTGATGTCCGTGGATACAGAGCCCGGAAATGACCATCACATTAGCTTCCACCAGATGACCAACTGCTCGCCACTTTTTTTCAAGTCCATAGGTGTGGACCCTCTGCCAGCTAAGCTATCCTATGACAAGTCGCATGACCAGGTGTGGGTCCTGAGCTGGGGGGAGATGCACAAGTCCCAGCCAAGCCTGCAGGTATGTTAAGCACACGGAGCTGCATTTGCCCTACTGGAGGGCTCTTCCTGTAAAATAAATGTCTCTTGCTTCCCTGGGTCACTGTTCACGGTTACCTAAAATATTTTCATAAAGGCTCAAGAAGAAAGTAGGAAATGGCCTCAGGGAATTGCCCCTGCCAGGCAATTAACAAAGTATCCTCAGCCAGGCCTACTTAGAGACAGTGATATTGATGGTGACAGACTGACTCCATGACAACCCAGACCCACTATACCTGCCTCTCTTGAGCCAGTAACTCCTAGAACCAAGCAAGATGAGTCCCTGGGGTCCAGGCAGGAAGAAGGGGGACACGGCTTTCTTCCCCGTGGGCTGGGCAGGTTGGAAAATAGCAAGTCATAGATGCTGGCTATCCTCATCGAGTTTCTGTTGCTATACCAAAATACCCAAAGCTGGGTAATTTATAGAAGAAAGACATTTCTTTTGGCTCATGGTTGTATCCAAGATCAGACAGCTACATCTGGTCAGCTTCTGGCGAAGACTGCCTGCTGCATCTTCTCCCTAGTAGAGACGTGGGGAGGGGGTGCACACAGAAAAAGCCCGTGTTGAAGAGACTGAGAAGTGCCATGTCCTTTATCACAATCTGCTCTTGTGATACGAACCATCCTCCCTGGAGCTCATTAATCCCTCCAAGAGGGTGGAGTGCTTATGACCTAATTACCTCAGAAAGGTCTCCCCCCCTCTCAATACCACCACATCAGAGGCTGGACTAAGCCTCAATGTGGGTTTCTGTGGGACAAACTCTATGCAGATGGTAGCATTGGCTAACGAAGGGGAGAAGCAGCCTCAGAGATTATATCCAGAAACAAAAGTGCATTTACCAGGTGTTCACGGTGTGCCGGGTACAGGAAAGTTAAGCAGTTCGCCTGTGACCCAGCCCAAGCAGTGTGGTTGTGCAGCCCACACGCTCAGATCCCTGCCCTTTACTTTCTACCCCCAGGAAGAGGTTAGGCTGCAGAGATCTGCAGGACTCCTCCCTCTACCAGACGGGGAGGGGCTACACACTCCTGTGTGTGCCTGGCCCAGTGTTTCTCACTAGGAATCCATGAGAGAAATCAGCCCTGCATAAAGTGATTGGAATGCCTGTTTGCTTGACTCTCTCAAAGAGAATTCTAGATGTTCAGGAGAAGAATGCATCCATTACATACAACGGGTGATATGTGTGAATAGTTTCATTCTCTCAGAAACCCATTTGAGGAGAACTGCAAATGGAGATAATTGTGCCCTGTTTCCAAAGTCAGGAGGACCAGGATGAGAACCAGCTCTCTCCCAGGCACTGACCACCCACCTACCTCCTGTTGTACCAGAGAAAGACTGCTTCACCTCTGTCAGCTGAGCTACACTCACCCAAGAGTGCCACCAACCTGTCCTGGGTCCCAATAACAACTTATCAGAGGGTCTAAGAGCCGTAACAGAGGTCCCTCTGAACACAGTACATGTCCAGAGAAATAGAGCTGCCAGGGACATGAAATAAAAAATGCTAAGAAAGCACTTAAAGGAAATCCAAGGAAAAGGTCCACCAAAGAAAAGAAAAGTTTTGTTGTTTTGTTTTGTTCTTCAACTAAAAGTGAAACAAAAAATGTTAAAATTGGGCTGGGGATTTAGCTCAGTGGTTTTGCCACTTGCTGTGCAAGCGCAAGGACCCGAGTTCGATCCCCCGTACCAAAAAAAAAAAAAAAGTTAAAACTGCAGTAGGTGAGTTAGAAAGTGCATGGTTTTTACTGAGCCCTGCCCCTCCCCCTAAAAATAGCCTGAAAGAACAACAGAAAAACCTGAAAACACAGAGCAAACATCTGAAAAGACTGAAGTGTAACATAGAGAAGGTCACAATGAAATGGAATCCAATATTAAATTTGGGATAAAAGTTCCGAATTGAAGAAACTTAAGCATGTAGACCAAAAAATCTACAGGTTCTAATCTACACTGCAGTGTTCTTTTTAGTAAAATTCCAGAACTACAAGAATAAAGGGGAAATGTTGTTAGGCAAAATCTTTCAAGGCAGAAAGAACAAGTTACCTATAAAGGACAAAACAATCAGGTTGGCACTGAACTCAACTGCAACAACAGCTGGAAGACCATGGAGCCCCATCTACACACCATGAGGATCAAAAGCCTGAAGTCCATGAGTCCTCCCCCAGCTAAGGCATCATTTCCATGTCCAGTCAGAAGAAAGAAAGAAGGGTGTGAGAGAACTCAGAGGCTGTGTCATTCACACACACACCCCCCGCCGAGGAAAGAGACGAGACCAACATCAGACCAACCAGATCAGAGACATCAAGATGGCGAGAAAATGAAGAAACAAGTGTTCTTGGACTGAGAGAGGAAGGTTTAAAAGAGAGATGAGGAAAGACTCCAGAAATGTATACAGTATAAGTGCACACATGATAAATGAGGCATTTGAATTAGGACAGACTGCTGAGAAATTCTGTCAGGGTGTAAAAGATGATGATGACAGGTTTTTTCAATAAAAAGTAAGGGGTGGAGGTTAGAAGGAGAAAGTAAAAAATACTCAAAAATCTCTCTTTACTGGAGAATGTTAAGGAGTGAATATCTCATTACTCTAAAAAAAGTAAAGATGATCAGACTGGGCTTTCAAAAAGAAAGTAACTTTTTACAAGAGACCCAATAAAACAATGATAATAAAAAGTGAATGTAGAGGGGTGAGAACAGAGGTAAAAAGATGTGCAGGAGAGGGAACATGAATACAGACAAGGTGGTCTTTGATGTTAAAATCTCTGAAAAGCAGGAGAGAGATTATATAATATGAACAGCTGATGTGTCATACAACATAGCTAAATACAGTAAGCCAAGAGTGATTATGTGAGATGACAACTTGGTTTAAAATGGACTTAGATTATACCTGCCAAAGAGACAAAATAGTGACATAAGAAAGCATCTGTACAATACCGAGGAGCTGAGTTTAATAATATGCAGAAGACTTTTTGTCTGTCAGACTGAATTTTTTCACCTGTTCACATATACAAAAATATATCATTAGTCATAAAGAAAATTTTTAAATATTTGTGAAATCAGATGTTATAGACTATATTATCTGATAATTAGAAATAATTAAAAGGCAACCCATTAAGAAAACACTCCTCAATAGCTATTAGAAAAATCAAAAAGCAATTTTAAAAATCAAAAGGTATTTTTAAAAGAGACTATTTCATATCAAAACCTATAGGAACATTAGGGCTGGGGATTTCGCTCAATGGCACTGTGCCTGCTTCATAAGCACAAGGTTGTTCAATCCCTGGTACTAAAAAAAAAAAAAAAAAACCTATAGGAACACTGAGAAATCTGTATGCAAGGAATATTTGCAAAGAAACCCTGCAAAGGAAGTATTTGTGTTAAGAAATTAGAAAAATAACAAAGTGTTAAGAATGAGAACTCACATTAATAGGAAACAAAACCAAAACAGAATAATCCCTGTCAAACCTAATAAAGAAGAAAAAATAAAAATAGACACAATGAGGAATGAGACGAGGGACATTACTGCAGACATATGAGAATAAAATGGTTAAAACCTCACAACTCTGGGGTGGAAAATTTTAAAACCGAAGAATTGTATGCTTACAAAATGAAAAAAAAAAATTGACCTGAAAAAAGGAAAACTTGAAATAGAACAATTACCATAGAAGTTATTTTTAAGATTAAAGATCTACCATTAAAAATGTACATCTGAGTTTTATTGGGGCTTCAAAATATAGATAATTTTAAGTTTGTTGGAGCTTTCACAGACTATAGGAGAGAAAATGTATGACACCCTAGCCAGTATAACTGTAATTATAAAAACCAATTAAAAACAGCATTTAAAGAACTATAATCTCACCTACAAATACAAAAACGAAATTCTAAGCACATATTAGAAATAGAGTTGGGCCGTGTACCTCCAGAATGAGGTAAGGAATCAGTAAACATTATTCATAACACCGACAAATTAAAAAAGGAAAAAGGATATTTTCAACAAATGTTGAAAAGACATTTAATTAAACAGACATTCTTGATAAAAAGCCTAAACACAGGAACAGAAAAATAATTTCTTAAATATAACAAATATTCCTAAATCCAACAGCAAAACAACTTAATATGAGGAATTAGAAATGACGAACACCATCACTGTAATCGCAAGTCTAGGAAATGCAATACACCACCAAAAAATAGAGTTTAAATAAACTTACGTCCATGGCGGTAGGTCTGCGTTAAGGAAACCAGTGTGACCAGAAACTCCCGGAAACGTCACCCGGCGCAGGCTTTGTGGGGAACCACTGGGGAGAATCAACCAGAGCCTCCAAAGTACTTTTTCACCACCACCTTCACTTCTCAAAATGTACCCGAAAGCTGTCCAAAGATTCAGCTGCAGCAGCATCTGTCACCACATTGTTTATATTAGCAAACCCACCTAATATTCTTTCCAACTGTGGGGACAGTAAGAGATGTGTTAAAATTTGCTAGGGCTGCACAGAGGAATGTGCGGAAATGAGGCTCATTCTACTAAGCCCAGGGAGCTGGAAAACTGTGGGCTCAACAGTTACCTTTGGGACACTTGTGGGCCCAGCCTTGCGCTAGGACCCAAGACCAGGCCAAGGAGAAACACAGGACTCGGAGAACAGGCTGACAGCCCCACAGCAGCCATGGCCCGCGGTACTGAGTTTTGATGAAGCAGCCTCGGAATATAGGGTGTCAGGGCGGCGAAGCGTGCGTGACACGGACCGATGACAGCCTGTAATTTTCCATCTCCATTATAGGCTGAGAGGACAGCCTGGTATCAGCCGTGATTGCGCACCGCCTTGGAATCCTCTGGCATTTTCCCTCAGATGCTCTGAGATCAGTTTCCTAACCCACATCTGCTCTTAATACCCGGTTCTATCAGTTTTTCTCCCAAGGACTTGCCACCAAAGTATCATTTGGCCATTTTGTAAAAAAAGAAAATGGCAGGAAAATAACCCAGTGCAACTTCAGAACTGCTCCAAGACTGCAAACCACGGCATGTCTCCCACACCAGCATCATGCCGGCTGACTCAGAGGGAAGCATGGCGGGAAAAACTCAAACCTGCCAGAGGAGGAAGGCCGGGTACTATCTGTTTTGTCGTGAAAGTAAAAACCAGAAGTCAGCCCCGTTTCTAAAGGGCAGAAGCATGGAGAGCTCCGAGCTGTGCGAGTGGGAAGCCCACGCCAGAGAGAGACTCCTCACCCTGCAGGCCCAGCCCCAGGCTGCAGAAATCCTGATCCTTCATTCTGCATACACAGCTACCAAATCATCAGCAAGAAAAATGCCTCTGTTTCTGTGTGGGGCCCAGAGCCTGCCCCATCTGCCCATAGGGGCTGCCCTTGGCCGTAGGCACCTGCGAGCTGGAAAGCCACTCGGATGGCGAGAGTCTGCCTGTATCCGCGCAAGGGCCTAGAATTTGAAGGCTGATTGATGCGCATGTCCAGAAGGCAGGGGTCAGGCTTCACACAGAGCTCCCGGCCGCTCTCTGTTCCTAACCTCACACACACACCCAGTGCCCTTCACCTGACGCCCACACAGCAGGGAGCGGCTCTGGTCTCCCCTGCCAAGTCCCCAGTGGAGAAAGCTTCGCCTGTAGGGAAGCAGTGGCAGCCATCCTCTGTCACTCCCAATTTGTACAGAGCACAAGGCCTGATTCTTTAGTTTTCACAGCAAGTCCCTCTGTGAAGCCAGAGCCTCCCCCGCATTCTAATTCCAAGACACCCGGCAGCAGGAGCGGCATCTGTGAGTGGCAGCCCTGCCCGATTCCTGCCTTCTCTCACCAGTTCTGAAGACGGCAGAGATGCCCATAAGGTGGCCCAGGCACCTGGCACTGAATGCAAATTCCCAGTAAACAATTCCACCACTTACGTTTTAATTATTAAAAGCACTCCCCCTCTTTCTCTAGGTGGCCTCGAAGTGGAGAAGGTGGGATTACCTGGGGGCGGGGGCTACCTGTCAAAAATCAGTGATGTTTCCATTCTGGGGATCTCAGAAGCCCAACACCAGCCCTCAGGTCCCTGTCTGCCATCCTGGGGCTGACCCAGCAGGAGAGGGGGACTGGGGCTCCTCTGCTGTCCACCACCTCCTGTACCGTCCCTGCCCTTGACGTCCCTAAGCAGCTCCCTCATGGCCCCTGACCCTTGCCTGAGACAGGTGTGGCCACCCTCTCTCTCCAAGCACCTCCCGGTGGGACTCTGCACCAGAGCACGCAGATGTCTCCAGGTGTCCTCCCCGTGGCAGGCCCTCACAAAGATCCTGCTCTGTGTTGTAGGTGATCACAGAAGCCAGCGCTGGCCAGGGCCAGCACCTCATCCGAACACCTTTTTCAGGAGTGGAAGATTTCTTCATTCCCCCAACAAACCTCGTCATCAACCACATCAGGTGAGCCCGCCCCGACCGCCTCTGAGCAGTGGCACTCTGCCCAGCCCTGCACGAGCCAGCCCTGCCCAGGTGGGGCTGGCTCCTCTCCCTCTCCCCACTCCTCCTCGACAGGCTTTGGACTCCTCAGAGAGGGACAGAGAAGCAAATCCACCTCTGGCCCAGCAGACCCAGAGCCTAGTCCTCAGTGCTCAGCAACTCTGCTGTAGTTAAGGGGTGTCCACTCCCCGACACCTTCAGGGGCCCAGTGATGTCAGAAGTCTCAGAGGAAAGAGGGAAACAACAGTGGTTAACCAAGCATCCTCTACTTACTAGACACAATCTAGTAGAGGTGGGCTGGGCTCATTTCACAAGTAGGGAAACTGACCCAAGTCACACAGGCATGAACTGCCTGTCAGAGAGACTAAATGTAAACCCAGCTTTCCTTTCGATCTCTCGTTCTGCCTCATTCCCGGCCAATCACCACCCACGGTTCCCGGGGGCCCCAGGACATCTGTACAGGGGCCCACAAAGAGACACGGCCTCCCGACGGCCATGGTTTGCCCCATCCAAAGTAACAACCTAATGATAATAGCCGTGGCCCCCAGTGCAGCCCTGTCCCCAGCATGGCCCTTCCCCTTCCTTGTTTCAGAAGCCCCAACATGTTCTGTAAAGTCCTCCCTGCTCTCTAAGTCTCCAGATGCCAAAGATCTCATGGCACTATTTATGTGTCTCTAGACTCTGATGTCAAGCACCTTGCTCCAGGAAATGATTCGCTGTTGCAAGCTGATGCTGGAGAACTCATGCAGTAACCCTTGTCCAAGGAGAAAAAGAACCACCTCATGAACCCCCTTCCAGTAGAAAGCACCTGGGAAGAGCCTGAGATTGTACTAACAAAGACCTGGACAAAGAAGCCAGATCGGGCTGGGAGCCATGGCAGCCCGGTGTCTTCTATGTTAAATTCCTTCTTAGACCTGGGCTTTCTGTCTCACAGGGTCCATGCTCTGGCTCTTTACAGATGCTTTAAGAAGCACCTGGAGGGAGGAAGCATTTTGCCCACTCTGAGATATAGCTTCTCAAGAGGAAATTGTAGAAGAGATTTTTCCCATACCTTTAGGTATGCCCAGCACCAACAAGCTTTGAGGCCAAGGGATCCGGCACGGGCTCTCTGGGTCACAGGGAAGTCGGACCTGGGGTCGGGCCTTTATGTACTTGCAATCAGCCTCCCCGGAGTTTCCAGAAGCCCAGATGTGAGCCACAGCCACCTGCTTGAGCTGCTCCCACAGCATCCCCTCGTAGATGGAACCTTCCCTCGGCCTAGGAAGGAGGCACTCTCTTTAGTTGATGAGGCTTTCAGAGCAAGCAGCCTGGCCCGGCCTCTGCGGCCAGCAAGGCAGCACCATGGCACCACCCGCTCCCAAGGGAGACACTATCCTGGCAGCCTGCCCACGATTCCCCCTCCCTGCATGAGACATGATTAGTGCCCCAGAGTAGAGCCTGGGTAGGAAATCTGTGGCTGCTCAGCTGTATCTTTGTCCTCCCATCCTGCCCCGCCCATTCATCCGAGAAACAGCTAGGACGTGGGGCTGCCTTTCTCGTCCTCACGCAGGCAGTGGGGGTGGGCATCTCTCTCCCTTTTCCCCCATGCTCACGTCGCATCCCAGGCCTACTGTCCCTGACACAGGCCTGGGGGAGGCCCACTCGAAGGCATTCCCAAGGGAGAAGCCACGGAAGGCCTTTTACCTGTCTTTAAAAACCACTCCTAGCCGGGCACAGTGACGTACACCCGTGATCTCAGCTACTCGGGGGAGCAGAGGCAGGAAGATCACAAGATCGAACCCAGCCTCGGCAACTTAGTGAGATTCTGTCTCAAAACAAAAAATAAATAAAATGAAAACTAGGCTGGGAATGTAAAGGCCCTGGGTTCAATTCCCTGATCAGCCAGTCCCGGCCTTCCCTGCCTTACAGAGCAGCCCCAAAACAAGAGAACAGTGGTGTCAGGGAGGGCCAGGACAGGCTGATCGGGCTGGCATGTCTGATCTCTAGTTTTCAAGGCTGATTACTCTCCAGCTGGGTCTTATTTTAGGGGAAAGAGGGAAGGTAGAAGGAGGGAAGGAGGGAGGGAGGAAAAGAGAGAGGCAGATGTAGCTCAGTGGTACCGCACTTGGCTCGCACAAGGCCCTGGGTTCACTTCCCAACAATGAAAAAACACACCCTGAAGACAAGCGCGAGGCCAGGAACATTTGTCACTGAATAGCAGCTGTCATGACCTCATAGGCGGTGTGGTAGGAAGCATCCCCTGTGGAACAGTGCGTCTTGTTAATAGGCTCTGAGGTCACTCACAGGACCATGATAAAGGGACAGATGAGGATGCAGTCGTTGAGGACGGATGACGCATCCCTCAGCCCTGGAGAGGCTTCCTGCTCTCTGACCTCCGTTCTTCTGCCCCCAGGTTTGGCTTCCTCTTCAACAAGTCTGAGCCTGCGGTGCACAAAGTCGACCTGGAGACTCTGATGCCACTCAAGACCATCAGCCTGGGGCAGCACGGCTGTGTGCCTGCAGCCATGGCGCACACCCACCTGGGCGGCTACTTCTTTGTGCAGTGCCAGCAGGACAGCCACACCCCTGCCAGCCCACAGCTGCTCATCGACAGTGTGACGGACTCTGTGCTGGGTCCCAATGGAGACGTGACGGGCACCCCCCATGTGTCCCCCGACGGGCGCTTCATCGTCAGTGCCGGCACCAGCAGCACCCGGCTGTACGTGCAGGAGGTCACGGCGCGGGGGGAGATCCAGACCCTCTACGACCTGAGAGTGAGCCCGGGTATCTCCGACTTGGCCTTCCAACGCTCCTTCACCGAGGGTAATCAGTACGACATCTACGCCACTCTGGAGGCGGCGCCCGGGCTGCTCTTCCTGGAGCTGTCCACTGGGAAGGCGGGCGTGCTGAAGAACTTGAAGGAGCCACCCACGGGGCCCGCCTGGCCCTGGGGGGGACCCCGCAGGATCCTGAGGGACAGCGGGCTGTTCGGACAGTACCTGCTCACACCCGGCCAGGAGTCTCTGTTCCTGGTCAGCGGGAGGCGGAACGCACTGCGGTGCCAGGTGGCGGGCGTGAGGCAGGCGGCCGCCGTGGTGTGGGTGGGCGAGGTCTGAGGGAGCCCAGGCCTGGCAGCGCTGGGCAGTCCTGACGCCTCAGCCCCAAGCGGGCACGCTACCCATTTCACAGACAAAAGCAAACACCCGTATCCGCCTTGTGGTTCAACACTGATCTCCTTGCAAGTCTCCTAGTATAAGGTATGCGCTGCTCCTGAGCCCGGGGTCTTTTCATTAGGAAGAATGATTTTCGTCTTGAGCTACGACGAGAACACTGCTGCTGTGTAAAGGAATCTTTGCTGTACCGGGCTGCAGGCCAAATCACCTGGGTTTGCCACGACCCAAAAGCCCCCGCTTTCCAGGCTGACACACCTGTCGGCTGCCTTCCCGTGTCACTGTCCTGTCCCACAGACCCTGAAGCAGCCGCCAAAGGCAGGGCTGAGCAGGAGCAGGAGCAGGACCCTCCCTCCCAGGGGCCAGGGCCATCACCCCTGGCTCGGGACCACTTCCTCTTTCTCAGCTGCTGCTTGCTTTCCTTCCCACCTGACTTGTAAGCCTGAGGGAGAGCCAATGTGACTGACTGACTGCACCTTGGGGGAAGGGGAAATCACTCACTTTATTTTGGAAATTTTTGATTAAAAAATAATTTTTTATAATCTCAAATGCTAGTAAGCAGAAAGACGCCCTTCAAGGTTCGGCTGTATTCTTCCCTGCCTTAGGCCACGTCTCTGAGGATCACAGTGGCACATTCCACAGCCGGAAAGAACAATGGGTATCCAGCCGCAGCAGCCTGCTGTGCCGTTGCCCCCACTCCCTGAATGCAGATCAGACCACCACACTGGCGAAGACTCTGTCCTATTCGGGGAACCCCGAGAGACTGGGACAAGCCCTGCATGCCTGCTCCTCACCATGAAAAGGGGATGTTTCATTTGTCAGGCCCGGTACCCCAGATTCAGGGCGGACTCATGCCACCTGGCCAGGTGCAGGTGGCCTCTGAGCTCAGTGCAGAAGCCCCAAGGACATGAGCCCCGGGCTCGGGAGGCCGCACCTCTGAAAGCTGGGTTTCTTTTCTGCCTGTGGCCCCGACACTTGGCTCTGGGGCCCCAGCCCCACACAGCGCTGCACATGCTTTCTGACTTGATCCCTCCGTAAGCCCCACAGGCTTGGGAGAGGTGGTCCCGCCCCAGACACCTCAGCTGATTTAGCCACCTTCACCTGCCAATGTTGCTATGATCCTGCAAACACAGACTGTATCACTCTCCATACACCCAGTCCCTTCTCCGCTCCTGACTGCCCAAGCCGCCTGCCCCTGGGCCAGTTTCCACATCGGCCATACCTCTCCTACATCTCCTGTCTCTTGGGCCACGAAGTCCCTGTCCCATACGACTCCCAGGAGTGTGCCTACATGCGTGTTCACATTGTTGATTTTTTTTTTTTAAGGTAAGACATGCAGATAGATTGGGAATACTGAGGTCCAAAGCTGGGGTGAAGGCTAGCACATCTTGCCTCTTTTTTCCAGCCTCAATATCTTGATATATTAATTCCCAAACTCCCATTTTATCACTGAAATTCTCCAGTGTTCATGAACCTCTCCTTTTGGTGAAATACCATCAGCCCCTGACAGAAGACGAGCCTCTGAGCCTCAAGGAGGAAGAAGAGCCCTCTCCCCAACTACGAGGCCAGAACCTCAGCACCTCGGGGTCACAGGATTCCCAAGGAAAAGACCAATCCAATCCAGGCTGGCCTTCTAGCCAGGGAGTGCTGGCATTGAGTTACACCCCAACCACTCCTTTGCCACTGTTCCTTCCATCTCTGAGTGCGCCTGGGAAGCGTGCCTGCCAATCACTGTCCTCACAGTAAAGGTCTGGGAAATGGTGCCCACCACAGGTCTCCTGCCAGCAGGAAGGACAAGACTGAGAGCAGGAAATCGCAGGCCTAAAGCCTGGTTCAGAGCTGCAAGGTCCCAGTCCCCGGATGCAGAGGCACAAAAGCAGGAGAACAAATTTTTCTAGCACTGAAACCAATAGATCTGCCGTGATGGGAGGCAGGGGACAGTCAGCCAGAGCTTGCCTGACCTTCCTCCCCACTTCAGCCCCTGAAGAAGCTCTTACACACAGTCTGAAAGCCACAAAGGGAGCCGACATGACCACAGGTGGGCTTTCTCTACCAAACCGGCAAGTGGTCCTGCTGACAAGAGCCAAGATCAACTAACAGCTTGCACTATTAAAGGAAGGCTGATCTACCAAAAGAATCACCAAAAAGCTACTTACATAAACATAATTAGTAATTGTGAAGTACAGCTGATTTCACAAAAATTCAGTAGTTCTCTTTTTCCAGAATAACGAACACAAATGGTGTGAACCCATGGCAATATAGAGGCTTTGAAATGGAGGTTCCGGTTTTCTGTCTGGCCAAACAGGCAGGACTCTGCATGAAGTTTCTAGATCCAAAAGCTCAACCAGCCAACCCCAAATGGACAGCATGGCGAGAGATGTTCGGCTTCTGGCCAACAGAAGGAACCTCCTGCATAAGCAGGCCTGAGGGCAGGCCATACCTGACTTGGCGAAGGCCACTGCCAGCCTCAGCCACACTGACCTAGCTCTGCCTGGAGCTGGCCCACACTGATTTCTTCCATCCCAAGCCACTCGCATGTCTGGCTCCCTTGCCCAGTCCACAGGAGTAAGTCGGAAGAGCCTTCCAAAGTCTTGGCTGGGGCCAACTACTCAGACCAACCCCCCCCACCCCCTGCCCGGTCCACTGACCCACAGTAGCACTGGCAGAGACAGAGCTCAGTGCCTGTGCTCCCCACCCCACCCAGCCATCGCCCCATCTCCCTGCTCGTGTGTGCCAAAAAAGGGCTCCCAGCTCCAGGGAGACACCCAGGAACATAGCATGCAACCCCAAATAAAGCCGAGAACAGCCTGCTACCCAGGAGCATTGTAACCGCCGAGTCTCCATTTAGGAAGGCAGCCAGGAACTGGCTTTGTAGGGCACATCTTGTTTTCTACTGACCAATAACCTGTGAACTAAAGGAGATTTCAGAACTGAGATGTGAAACAGATTCATTCTGGATATATTTTTCTACAAGGGGCTTAGAAGTGTAGTAGATTCATTTTTCACAATGTGTGTCATTCAAATGCCGTGGACCCTGGACCATCTTCCCTAGGAAAACCCCACACGTCTCCAGCCCTCCCCTTCAGGCCTCCAGGGGAGCTGCGGGCTCCCCCTCCCTCCTATGCATCCACCAATCTACCTCACATTGTCCCCCCAGCACCACCCGAATATGCGGCCCTCGGGCCAGGAGGCCACACAGGGGATGTAGATGACCACAGTGCTGACCAGGAAGTCCCCTGCCCACCTCCCCACCCAGCACCCCTGATCCCACTCCAAGCGCAATCAGAACCCATCAGGACACAGCCCCGCGCTGCCCAGAATCACCCCCCAGACCCAGACACACAGTCTGTGGGAGTTAGGAGATCACGAGTAGAGAACGCTCACTCAGAGCTATCAGGGGAGCTGCTTTGTCCGCAAGAGGAGGCCCGGACATCTCAGCGGAGCCTCATCTCTTGGGGAGGGAGCTTCCTGGCCTCCCTCCACTCCTGCCCATGCTCTCCCTTTCTTGTGCCCCACCCTAGGTCTCACACCCTCTGCTCATGAGCCACTCCAGGGCAGGTGCGACCATCCAGGAGCAAGGACCTTCCCACCGCAAGCCCCCGGCGGCCCCTACCCAGAGGGCTTCCTTGCTTTGGGTTCCAGTGAAAAGCTGCTCAAAGGCCAGATGCTATGATCTGCTCTGAGACTGGCGTGTAGGCATAGCAGTTTTGTTCAAGAAAGTCAGTAACTGCCTCGTTTTCTCTCCACATCACAGGGATCATAAAACAGAGAAGCTTAAAAGATTTAAAGGGGAAAAAATACAGTGCCTATCCTCAGGGTGTGACTACAAGACTCCGAGAAGCTGGTGGACCACAAGCCCCCTTCCCTTTTCTCCTCACCAGCTTACCTGCCAAGTCACTGGAGGATCTGAACATCTTACCTGGGCCTGCAGGCTTTGGGCATGAGCCACCCGGCAGATACTCAGAGCTGAGCAAGCACTGTCTTAGGCCTCTGCGTCCTCCTTCAGGTCTGTGGGCAGCCAGCAGGGAAGCCTAATCTAATCGATATGGAGTGTGGAACTATGGGAAATTCAGGGAGAGTGGGGATTAACTCCCAAAATCCATAGTGAGGCTTCCTGGGCCAGCACCAGAGTGTCTACCCTGTTTCTTGTTTTCTACACCAAGTCCCAGTTCACACACCCTTCTATTTAGACTCATGCTGATGGATATGGGACCATCTTTCTCCCATGTGGCCCCACAGAAGTGAGCCCTGCCCTGGAGGGCTGTGGAGCACTCCGCCCACACTCCACAAGGCAGTCTCTGTGGTCTGGCCCCATCCCAAGCCTGGTGACACCACGTGTCACTACAGCAGCAGCAGAGCATGCTGCTCTTTGGAGGCACTGCCTTCAAATCAGGGCTGTTTCTGAGTAAGGGTGACCAATACAGAATTGGCTGGTTGGGGGGCCAAGAATTCCAAGATGAGAAAATTTGCTAAGCCTCGCTGCCTGGCCCCCAGGGCTGGCCAGCCCTCTCCCTTCCTACCCTCGCCCCATCGCTTCCCACCTTTCTGCTGCTGCTTGTGCTTTCTGAAGGTCATGTGAGAGGACCTCAAAGCAGAACTGGGCATGGAGTTTTGCTGAAGTGGTCACGCACACTGACTCATGCTATCGTGTTATCAAATGACCCTCAAGACATGAAGCCACACACATCTGTTAAGATTCTCACCCCTCCCCACCTCAGAAAACTTTCAGATCTCTCATCTGTCAAGCTTCTGTCAAGGCAGGTTGCATTATTTTGAGCAGTTGTGTAAACTCCGAAATATATTTTCTGTAATCACCGGTATTTCTTGAAAGGTCTCCTGTAATTATACATGTGAATTTTTCCTTGTTTATAAAATATATATAAATTATTTTTAATACATCAACTTTAGTAGAAATTTGTACCAACACAGTAGCAGTATGTGGCATTTGAAATAAGTTTGTGTTTACTTTGACGTATGACATTGGTATTGAACACATGACGTATTTGCAGTACCACTTGATTTTTAAAAAATGACTCACAGATTATCATAAAGTATTGTCATTGTAAATGCTCTTTTTCTGAGGATTTTACAATAAAACGTGAGGAAAGTGACCTTTTCCTCCTGTCAGTCTGTGGGTAGCTGTTAAAGCAAAAACTGACGTAGGCAGGACCACTCGGGCGCCTGCTCCCCTGGCCCATCGTAATCCAGGTATAGGTGTCCTGGTCACCTCCCCAAAGAAGTCTGATGCACACTTAGGGGTGGGGACACACTGAGTTTAGAGTGGTCCGGCCAGGGTGACACAAAATGAACCATCATCACAGTGATGCAAACATGTTGCTCTCATCTTTCCCAGGATACTAAATGTCCCGGCCCTGTGACAGACACTTGCTAAGCGCCTGATTTAAATCATACAACAGTTCGCTAAGGTAGGTGTCATTGCAACCCCCGTGTTACAGAGAGGAATCACAGCCTGGCTTCAAATCCAAGTCTATGTGGCCAACAAACCTGGTCCAAAGCAAGGACACTGTTGCCTGCGGTAGCCCAGCTACTCCAGCCGCACTTTCTCACTGAACCCCCTTATCTCTCTGCCTCATTAACATCAGGAGGGTGCCCTCCTGTGTGCTGGGCACTGCATCTGACCCAAACCCAACTCCATGGGTGAAGACAGCCTCGCCGGTTTGCTGGCTGCCCCCCGAGGCTGGGCTTTGCCTGCCACACTGACCGTGGTCTTATTTTCAGCGTTACGTTTCGTGTTCCTAGTGACTCAAAGCACCGTAGCTTCCTCTTCGTGGGCAGCAGCAGAACACCGGAGCCTCCAGGAGAGCCTGGCGGCACCCACCAGGGGCCAACAGCCAAAGGGTGATCCACAGCCAGGCCTGCGCAGCTCCAGGGAGGAGCCAGCCCGCCTCAGGTTTAAACCTCGGCTGCTCCCTGCTGATTGGCCCGTTCGTGGCCAATCATTGGCCCTTTTCATTGGTGCCTGCCTGTTCCTCACTTCCAAATTCTATTCCCTTCCTTTCTCTCCTTTCTTCTCTTGCTCCTCATACCTGCTCAAATCTTCCCTCCCGCCCCTCTCCTTTCTTGTATATAAATAGTACTAGAACATTCAGACGGTAAAAAAAGAAAAGAAAAAGAAATAAATAATGAAAAAGATTATAAGAGCACTTGGAAAACCCTAAAAGAACAAGTTTAAGACTCACTGGTCTACAAGAGGGTGAAGAGACATGGGCTAATGGCATAAAAAACCTATTCACTGGCTGCTTTTGGCAGATGGTGGCCGCAAAGAAGACGGAAATCTGAAATAGAGTACTATGCCATGTTGGCCAAAACTGGTGTCCATCACTACAGTGGCAATAATATCGAACTCGGCACAGCATGTGGAAAATACTACAGAGTATGCACACTGGCCACCATTGATCCAGGTGATTCTGATCTCATTAGAAGCATGCCAGAACAGACCGGTGAAAAATAAACCATGCAAAATTTTTCATTAATAAAACTTGCCAGAGCTTGTTTTAAAAAAAAAAAAAACCTATTCACTGAAATGATAGCAGAAAATTTCCCAAAGCTGGGCAGTGAAACAGATACCCAGGTACTGAAGGCACTTAGAACTCCTAAATAGACATGACCAGAAAAGAACCTCTCCACAATATGTCATAGACAAATTGCAAAAAGATCAGAACAAAGAACGATTATTAAAAGCTGTTGCAGAAACTGAGCATGGTGGTGTCTCCCTATAATCACCTCCCTGGAGAGGCTGAGGCAGGAGGATTGCCTGTAAGTTTAGGGCCAACCTGGGCTACAGAGGGAATTCAAAACCAGCCTGGACTACATAGTGAGACCCTGTCTCAAAAAAACTAAAACTAAAACAGAACAAAAAACTGTTAGAGATAAACATTAAAACAATGGTTTTACTGTAATAAAAGTATTCCCCTGTAGCTAGAATTTGTCTCATGCTTGTGTTTTGTAAAGGATCCACTTAAATAGGTTTCAAAGTCTATCTTTGGCTTGTAACATTACAAAATGTGGTGGTTTTTTTTCATTTTTGCTGGATTTTTACTTTTGCATGTAATATAAAACATAAATGTCTACAGTGAAAGAGAAACTTCTCCATTTAAATAAATGTGCTGATAACTATCAAACTTTATAGGGAAAAAAATAAAATAAAATAAAACAATAGTAAAACCATCAATGTAATGGGAGATTTCTCAAAAGAAACTCTACATTCTAGGAGGGCTTGGAATGCTGTATTTCAAGCCCTGAAAGAAAATAATTGTCAACCTAAACTACTATATCTCACAAAGCTATTCTTTCAAAACTAAAGAAAAATTAAATATCTTACAAGATAAGTATAAAGAAATTCATTACCACTATGCTGGGATTCCAGAAAGTACATAAGAGAATCCTAAACATAAAAGGGGAAAATTGTAACTATGGAATCAAGGGAAAGAATAAATCTCATTGCAGAATAAACAAATGAAAATCGGAAATGAATAAAGCACTAGAAAAACAACAAAATGATAAGAATTAGTACATACCTAAGACACAGACTGGGAGACTGTATCAAAAACAAGGCTGAACTAATGTCATCTGCAAGAAACATATCTCATCTGCAAAGACTTAGACTGAAAGGATGTAAGTGAATTGGCATTTCTCTCTGATCACCTTTAATATCTTTTTTCTGAATTTTTCATAGTTTGACTATGACATATTGTAGGAATGTCCTTTTCTGAAACCCCTAAGCAAGCAGGAGGAGCTACACTTATATCCAACAGAGTAAACTTGAAATTAAAATTAAAAGACACAAAGGGGCCGGGGATTTAGCTCAGTGGTTCTGCCACCTGCCTCGCAAGCGCAAGGACCCGAGTTTGACCCCCAGTACCAAAAAAAAAAAAAAAGAGAGAGACAAAGAAGGCCATTATGTATTGGTAAAGGGAGCAATTCACCAAGAAGATATGATTGTAAATATCTACACAGTAAATCTCAGTACACCTAATTTCATAAACACATTTCACATAAAGTATCAGATAGACCCCAATACAATTACAGTGGCTGACTTCAACACTCCACTCTCACAAATAGGTCAACTAGACAAAAACAATCAAGAAAGAAGGGCCAGGGATCTAGCTCAGTGGTTCCAGTGCCTGCCTCAAAAGCACAAGGTCCCAAGTTTGATCCCCAGTACCAAAAAAAAAAAAAAAAAAAATCAACAAAGAAACATCAGGGTTAAACCACACTGTAGATCAAGTGGACTTAACAGACATCTACAGAGTCATTCAACAATGGCAGAATACACTTTCTTGTCAGCAGCCCACGGAACTTTCTCCAAAATAGACCATATTTTAGGCCACAAAGCAAGGCTTCATAAATACAAAAATTTAAATAATTGTACACATTCTTTTAGATCATAGTGTATTGAAGACAGAAGTCAACAGCAGAAGAAACCACAGAAGGGCTGGGGATTTAGCTCAGTGGTTCCGCCACCTGCCTCACAAGCACAAGGTCCTGAGTTCGATCCCTGATACCAAAAAAAGAAAAAGAAAAAGAAATCACAGAAATTAGACATATGAAGACTAAACAACCACTTTTGAATGAATGGTGGGTCACTGAAATTATCAAGGAAAAAAATTTAAATTCCTAGAATCAAATGATAATGGGGAAAAATTAGAACCAAAATACATTATGTAAAGGTAAAAAAAAATTATAATGGCAACACAACATATCAATTTATGGGACACAATGAAAGCAGTTCTAAGAAATAAGTTTGTAGCTGTGAGTGCCTATACCAGAAAAACAGCATGATCCCAAATAAGTAAGTTAGTGAAGTATATCAAGGTCCTAGAAAAAGAACAAATCAGATCCAGTAGAAGAAAAGAATAATAAGATCAGAGGTGAAAGTTAATGAGATGGAGACTAAAAGAAAAACACAAAGGATCAATGAGTCGAAGAGTTCTTTGAAAATATAAAAAATTAATAATCCCTTAGTAGTCAAACTTGCCAAAAGGAAGAGGTTAAGACCCAAATTAATAAAATTTAGAGGAAAAAGACAAAATTACAACAGGTACCACTGAAATCCAGAGGATTATCGGAAACTATTATGAAAACTGACATTCCAATAAATTACAAAAGTCATTAGAAATGGATAAATTCCTAGACACAAATAACCTACCAAAATTGAACTAAGAATATGTAAATATCTAAACAGATCATTAACAAGCAATAAGATTGAAATATTAATAAAAACAATCCCAATTAAGAAAAGCCCAGGATCCAGTGGATTTACTGCTAAATTTTACCAAATCTTTAAAGAATAACTAATACCAATGCTCCTGAAACTTTTCCATGAATTGAAAGGGAAGAACGCTTTCAAATTCACTCTCTGAAGCCAGCACTGATTACCCTAATACCAAAACCAGATAAGGTTCACCAAAAAAGAAAACTACAAACCACTATCCTGGATGAACATAGATGCAAAAATCTTCGGTAACATTCTTGCAAATAAAATTCAACGACATATTTTAAAAATCATACACTATGACCAAGTTGGTTTCAAGGATGTGAGGGTAGTTTAGCACCCATAAGTCAATAAATGTAATACACCACATAAATAGAATCAAAGATGTTTAAAAATCACATGATCATGATCATACAGATGCAGAAAAGCCTTTCACAAAATTCAACATCCCTTCATGATAAAAATCCTGAAGAAAACAGATGTAGAAACATCTTTCCTCAAATTAATAAAAGCTACATATGACAAGCCCACAGCCAACTTCATACTGAATATGGAAAACTTAAATAATTTCCTCTAAAATCAGAAATAAGACAAGGGTGTCTACTCTTATGTCTCCTGTTCAATATATGCTCTTCAGTATATGGTCCTGGCTTGAAACTTTAGCTAGGAAAATTAGGTAAAAGAAAGAAATAAAAGGGATACAAATTCTAAGAAACTAAGAAGTCAAACTACAGTATCCCTACTTGCAGATGATGTGATCCTTTATATAGAAGAGCCTAAAGCCTCTACCGGAAAGCTCTTAGATCCGATGAACAAATTCAGCAAAGTGGCAGGATACAAAATCAACACACAAAAATCAATGTCTCTTCTTTATACCAATAAAGAATCCACCAAAAAAGAAATCTGGAAAACAATTCCATTTACAATACCTTTAAAACAAAATAAAATACCAAGCAATCAACCTAAGCAAGAAGGTGAAAGACCTCTATAATGAAAATTATTCTATAATTGAAGAAAGAAATTAAAGAAAACATTAGAAAATGGAAAGACCTCCCTTGGTCATGGGTTGGCAGAACTATTACTGTTAAAATGGCCATGTTACCAAATGCAATCTACAGATTCAATGTGATCCCTATTAAAGTACAACATTCTTCACAGAGCTAGAAAAAGTAAACTCTAAAATTCATATGGAAGCACAAAAGATCCAAAATAGCCAAAGCAATCCTGAGCAAAAAGGGCAATGCTGACGGCATCACAATACCCGATTGCAAAGCACAGTGGTGAAAGGAAGGGACAAGAAAGAGAGCAAAAAAAAAGAATAGAAGGGAAAAAATTGTCAGGAGCAATTTGGGGGAAAAATCATTCCTTAATGAAAGGATGACCATAGCTGTCTAAGGCCCAGCGTCGCCCTGCCCGAGAGCCAGCTATGGCGTGTGGAAACGTAACTCTGTTTTGCCTCGGGTCACAGCTGAGGCCGCCATGGTCTGAGAAGCTGTGGTGGCAAAATAACACCAGCTGAACACATCCTGGTTCCCTGAGAACCGAGTAGTAGTACAAAAGAGAAAGGTTTCACCTGGGAAGGGACAGTTCCTTATCGGCCCAGCTCGTTCCACCTACTGAGGCGGGATGCTCTCCTTTCCGCTCATCAGCACGAGATTTGCACAGGATCAGACATAAGATGGCCAAGGCCCCCTAAGTCACCGATGTTCCCTCCAATGATTGTGTGTACCCAATAAATAGTGGCAAGCTCGGAGTCCTTGCTTTTGCTCACTCTGAGCCACTGACCTCCCGGCCCCCAGGTACTTTGAAGTTATGCAAGTCTCTGTCGTCTTATGTTTTTCTTTAGCCCTCACAGTCCCCCTTTCTAGGCAGTTGGAGGAAATTGGCCTCTAATAAAAAATGGAAACAAAGCTTTCGTAAATAAGGAGAAGAGCAGTTGAAGGGAGGGGAGGGGAATGGGGGAAAAAAAAGTAAGATATATCATGTACAGGTACAAATTTCCAACGATGAACGTTATTGTTACGCATAATGTATCAATAAAAAATTTTTAAATAAAGTACAAGCTGGGTGTGGTGGCTCAGGCCTGCAATCCCAGCACGCAGGAGGCTGATGCAGGAGGATCACCGCAAGTTTGAGGCCACCCTGGGCTACAGAGTAAGACCCTGTCTAAAAAAAAAGTATAGTGGTATCTTGGTACTTACCATTCATTGGTTCCAGGTGACATAACAAGTACCAAAAATATTGAGTACCACACAAATTGTTTTGGCTGGAAAAGGTAGCAAATCACAAGGCAATC